ATATGCAAATTTATGGAGTACTATTATTATTATAAGAACAAATAATTTAATAAACTTTTAAATTTTGCAAATTGGGATTAATGAGCCAAGCCTAAATTATAGTATTTGGTTATAGATAAGGGCTTGAATCTATAAATAATTAGTATATATTTATCTAGACTAGGTCTATATTAAAAGTATTCAGACTACTTCATGCAAACTTTTGCGATATACATAAGAAATATTTAAACAAATAGTATATATTGTGACTGTTGAATAGAAGAGCTAATATAATAATACAAAAATGATACTAATCTAACTTCAATAGTATACAGATAATAAGGCTAACTTTGGGTAAGTGAAATAGGTTTTTTATAAATATCAAGAAACTAGTAGAATGATAGAGTATTTTAGAATAATACTTTGATATCAATGAGCGATAATAATAGTAAAGCAATGATGAGTAATGCCATTAAGGGTAATAATAAAGAATGATTTTAAGAACTATAGTGATGATCAAAAGATTAAATAACCAATTGTAAATATTGTTCTTTACCACAATTTCTACAAGTTACTAATATGAATAGCAATATCTAATTTCACAACTATTCTAGAATCTGAGTCTTAATAAGCTAAATCAAAATTACAAGTCAATTCAGTCTGTCGAATTGAGTCTCAAAAAGATTATTAAAGTTATAAGTCAAATTCAAAAGATAAAGTCTCAAGAAAAATTCAGATAAGTATATATATTTTATAGTTTATTAGTAATTAAAGATAAATATATCATATTGTTCTTTATTAAATTCTAAACACTTATATATATTTTGGGTTGTTAGAATATTTATACTTTTTTTTAAATATATACACTCTGTTTTGAGTATTATACTCTTTTCTGAGTATATATACTCTTGGTACAGAAATATACAACTTTGTATAAGCACATATATGCTCTTTTCTAAGCATTTACTCTCTTGCATAAAATAAGCTACCAAGCTATCTTCAACTACCATTTTAGTATACTTGATTAAAATATTTATATATAATAAAGAAAAGTCAGTTACTGCTATGAAAATGAAATTGAAAAAAACTATATATATAAAAATAAAGATATAACTATAATTATATATTTATATAGAAATAAATTAAGATAAAATATAATATATTATATTTTCACATAATAATACACAGGGGTATAATTTCAAATTTTGGTTTAAATTAAGCTTAATTTGGGCTAAAATTTGAATAATACTCATAGACATTATTACACAAAAATATGGTAATAAAAAAAGGTAAAATTTTATTCTTTATATCTGCCTCCTTTTGGGATTGAGCTCCTGTGAAATCAGATACTTAATTTTCTATTGAGGAATCTCAAGTGGCCTATATTTCTTTTAGTTAAGCAGTAGGGTAGTCAAACAAATATCTTCTTCGGAATTGAAGATAATAATAAAGAACTAGTCAATTAGTAAGTATCAGAGCTATTGGTTGATTACATAGAATTTTTATTTTTGAAAACTTTACTCATACTATTTTTAATTTCTATCATTGATCTTCAAATTAATCTTCTAAATATATACTATTATTTTTAATTTTATTCTCAAGGTCTACTGATTTTAAACCTCATTTCTATGCTATTCATCTATTTTTAATCATACCTATACTATTCTAGAGGCAAGTTCTAGAGTAGTATTGTCTAGCTAGATTATCATCTTCAAAGTCTTTGTGCAAGTCAAATAGCATTGCTTCTTCTTTTTTCTTATTGAAGTAGATGAGTCTTTGATTTTTAATTTTAAACTTCAGTTTTCTTTCTTCATTTTCTAATACCTCTGCATTCTTTGGTTTAATTTCTAGTGCTTTATCTAATTCAGCAAGTAGTCATTGAAACTTTCACAGAGAAGGTACAAGTTACTTTCTTTAATCAATTCTTTTATTTTATATATAATTTTTTCACATTTCTCATCAAAAATCATTTTTCTATCAATATAGACATTATGATCAGCTTTATGATTCTCAAAACTTTCATGATTATTTTTTTATCTAACTTATTATATTTAATATCTTTTGAATACTTCTTATTTTTACCCTTTGTTTGACTTTTTCATTTCTATAAATATCATTATCTATTCTAATAGGGTTACTAATCTTAGTAGATTTTTGATAGTGACCAAGCAACTCATAGTTTTTATGAAGTTTTTCTTGGTGAGACCAACCAAAGTCTTGTACTTTATTAGCAGGATCTATCTCAGATAATTTTTGATAGTGAATAGGTGCAATATTTTTATCTTTTTCGATTTTTACACCAATTCTATAGTATTCAACAACCAGTACCTATCTAGTATTTCTTTAGATTTTTGATAATAAACAAAGGTATCACATTTAAGCCTTTTAACTCTAAATTTGGTTTCAATATCTAAATCATTCTCTTTGTTATCTTCAAGATCTCTTAAATAATTAAAGTAAATATCATATTTGCTATTTTCTTCTTCTTCAACTTTTGTAATATCAATTTCTTCTTCATAACTTATATTAGCAGGTTCATTATAATTTTTGAATACCTGACATTCATCTCTAATTCTAATTCCATCTTGATACCAATGATCAATATTATCTGTTTTATTATCATTCTCTATTTTAGCTAGCTTTTAATAAGTGAATGCTTCATATTTGTCTTTTTTATTTCTTATTCTATTTCAATAACAATATCTAGTTTTATTTATTTCATCAATACAACTAGGAAAACTCTTTTTATTATAATCAGAGATTTTACTATATTTGGTAATTGATGATCACATCTTATTTAGTAATAATTATTAGTTAGATTATTCTACATTCTTTTTCAGATTGTTCTATATAATACAATGATTGACTAATTAAATTAAGAGCTCATATAAATCAGCTTCTTTAAATATAATACTGTACTGTCAAAGTATAGTAATGTATAATAAATATAAGTGTTAAATTTTCTAATTTTAAAAATAGTTTAAGAAAAAGCTTAAAAGTAACAATATTTTAAACTGAATCACAAATATTTGAAGCTTTACTTAGATATAAAGAAGTCATTGGCATGTTTTAGAATCTTGAAATTAGTAGTTTTTAGTTTTGTTTAGAAGTACAATAAAAAGCTTATATAATTTTTTTTTAAAAAAAAAGAGGTTCTATCTTATTCATCAATTTAGCATTTAATAGTTTATTGTAAGATTACACCTGTTGAGTGTTTCAGAGTTAAATTATTTTAAAAATAAGGGAGAGTTTAAAAAGTTCTATTTTTTTTAAAATTTTTGAAATCAGAAAATAGAATAGATGTTAGTAAATTTTCTTTAATGTATATATTATTATACAGTATAATGTGATAAATTAATAAATTATTGATCAATAACTCATTAAGATACTATTGATATTTCTCTATTATATTTACCTGAAACATAAAGCATTTAGTAAAAGATATAAAATTTCAAAAGAAATTTACAATTATAAAAAGTATTAATTTATTATATAAATAAGCTTACAAATAAAAATAAATAGAGTTTATAAATTATTAATATAATAAATATATTATTAATTTAATTTAAAATCAAGAAGTATTGTTTGATAAATAAACTTTATTAAATGCATCATACCAATACTGTATATTTATTATACTTACGGTAATTATATAAATTATACTGGTATAGTATTAGTGTAGTATTTAGAAGTTAGACCATGGCTATGCTATCTCAATAAATAATTGGGATAGGTGATATACCATATAAATCAAAATTATATATAGCTATATAGTAAAATTTATTACTGAATTTTTTTTAGATATCGATTGATAAGTAATAATTTTTATATATGATAATTATTAAATTTTAAATAGATACACAGTACTAATAGTTTGGTAGTTTTGAATAAGATTTCACAAAGACCAGTATTACATCTTTACAAATAAAACTATAAAGCCCTTTCTTTTATTTAAATATAAAATTTTTTAATATACTATGTTTTTTCTTTAAAAGAAAGTCGAAGGAAATACTTAAAAGAATGGCTTAATTTAGTTTCTTTTTTAAAAAAAATGGCTCTATTGCTTTGTTTGCAGAGATATAATACTGGTCTTTATAAAATTTTATCCAAAACCATCAAACTGTTAGGGCTGTGTATCTATTTAAAATTCAATAATTATTATATATAAAAATTATTACCTATCGATCACTAACTATAAAAATTCACTAATAAATTTTACTATATGACTACATATAGTTTTGATTCATATAGTATATTGTCCACCCCAATAAATAATGTAATTTTGTTAATTACTTCATTAAAGTTCTTGCAGAGTGCAACCGTTAACACTTTTTCTGTTCACAACTAATTCAGGTTAGTGTTTTTGTAGAATGCCTCTGCTAACACTTATTTTTCTTCTGATTCGATCTAATTATTGCCAAAAGTTAAATAAATTGGTATGATGTTCGCAAAATACATTAGCTAATACTCTTTCCCTTACCAGTTCAATGTCACTCTTTCAAGACTCAAAAAAATCAATATGGAATTCTTGTAGAGTGTAGCCGCTAGTCTTTTTTATGCTCTAACCCAAGATTAATACTACTAAGATCCAAAAAAGTTATTGCAATAGCTTATATTATATATTTGCTAATGTTTGTCCTCTCTCAGGTTCAGGTTTGTTGAGTTTCGACATTATTAAACTAAGATAATTACAAAAAATTTTTCTTTAATATGTACATGCTTTATATAAAAAACTTTAAATTTTTACACCTCATTTACTTTTTTAATGAGAGTTGATCCCAAGGCACAGTTGATTGATCCTGAGAGTAGAGGCTTTTTAGCCTTAGTTTGTATATCTATTGACCATTGACCAATGTACAAAAATTAATTTTTGGTTAAAAAAAAAAAGAAAAAATATGAAAACGTGATAGTCAAAAGCCAATCAAATTCGTATAGATCATTCTAGAATTGATTACCATATTTGGTAAAATCTCTGACTGTATTATTACTCCTTGATAGGCTGTTATTTTCAGGTTTGGTAACTAGGTGTTTAAAGTATCAAGATAGCCATCAATTAAGTCCTCTAAATCTACTTCTGGGTTACCTTCGGGAACATTATGTGATTCAAGAATTGTGGTTATGGTTGGTGGGCTTGACTTTGCTGGGTGAACTTTTTTATATGATGTCTTGATATATAAGGATGATTATTTTATTTCTTTTATTTCTTCTTTATTAACTATCATTATATTTTCTAATATTCCTAATGTAAATTCCAGGGCCTTGGGAATCTGCTGATTATCAAGGGCACCAGAAAACTTTTGGCTTATTATATTTAAAGCCTCTTCATGCTGCTCCGCGATAAGGGTTGTAAAAAGCAGTGTGTACTTTTTATTCAAGTGTTTTACATCTGAGCACTTAAGGATGGGGTGTCTTCTTCTTCAGCATCGGGGCACAACTTTTTTTTAGAATTTTTTTTCTACCTGCTTCCTTGAGGTCTGTTGTAAATCTTTCTTGGTAAAATTTGTTAGATTTTCTATTATATCTTCAGGGAATTTAGGAATATTATTATTATAGGTATGCGGAACAGGGGCAACTTGTATTTGTTGGATAAGCACCCTTATCTGTGCAGTTAGGTTTTCAATGGTATAAGGCTGGGTGGGCTGGCTAAATAGATTATATGTTGGGCCAAATTAAATGGTTGAGCCATGCTCTTTTTGTTTGGTCATAGGTATTACGGGAAAGCTGAAGGAAAAGTATATGCAATTAAAGACTAATGGTATAATATTTTATTTAATTTAGGGGAGGTTAATTATCTATTCCACACAATCGGCACCAAATGTAACTGTTGAATGGGAGAGCTAATATAATAATACAGAAATGATGCCAATTTAACTCCAACGGTATACGGATAATAAGGCTAACTTTGGGTAAGTGAAATGGGTCTTTTATAAGTGTCAAGGAACTAGTAAGGCGATAGGGTACTTTAGAGTAATACTTTGATATCAATGAGCGATGATAATGGTGAAGCAATGATGGGTGATACCATTAAGGGTGATAATAAAGAATGATCTTAAGGACTGTGGTGATGATTAAGGGGTTGAATAACCAATTGTAAGTATCATTCTCTACCACGATTCCCGCAAGTCACTAATGTGAATAGCAATATCTGATTCCACAATCGTTCCAGAATCCGAGTCTTAATAAGCCAAATCGAAGTTACAAGGCAATTCATTAAAGTTACAAGTTGAATTCAAAAGATAAAGTCTCAAGGGAAATTCAGATAAGTATATACACTTTATAGTTTATTAGGAATTGAAGGTGAACATGTTATGTCATTCTTTATTAAATTCTAGGCACTTATATACATTTTGGGTTGTTAGAGCATTTACGCTCTTTTTTGAATGTATACGCTCTGTTTTGAGCATGTACGCTCTTTTCTGAGCGTATACGCAGGGATCTACAACTTTGTGTAAGCGTGTATATGCTCTTTTCTGAGCGTTTACGCTCTTGCATAAAATAAGCCTCCAAGCTATCTTCAACTACTATTTTAGTATACTTGATTAAAATATTTACACGTAACAAAGAAAAGTCGGTTACTGCTATGAAAATGGAATTGGAAAAAACTATATACATAAAAATAAAAGTATAACTATAATAATATGTTTATATAGAAATAAAATAAGATAAAATATAATATAATAAAAAAAAGTAAAATTTTATTCTTTACAGTATACATTGTTTTTATTTATCGTAGATAAAAATTTTCAGAGTAATTTTGAAGATCACAACTTTATATAGTAAATTCATACAAGGTAGCGCGAAATATGCCGTCATACTATTAGATTAAACTCAAATTTTATAACAAATATCACTTAATCAAAATTTTATTATAAATATTATATAAACAAAAATTTTTACATAATTTTTAAAAAGTTTAACTGTTATAAATGTTATTTAAAAAATACATTTTTAAATTATCAAATATAATTAAAAATTATTATTTATATACAAACCAAAGCATTTAAGATTTAGTAATATCAAGCTCAATTTGAGCAGAATCCACTTGTGGTAAATCTAAATAAATAATATTATTTTAAATAAATATACATAATTATATATTAGTTGAAAATAAATAAATACTTTTGATCTCATTTGAAATTAATTTTGTTCTAATAAGTTTGCTAGTACATCGCATCAGAATGCTTTGGTATTGGCAATGGTTTAATAACTTTATCAGCATCTAAGAATTGCTTTTTAATTTCATTATCATCTGAACTATCTATCTTATTAAGCCAATCATCAATTTTATCATAAACATTATAAGCACTGGATCAGCATTCATGCATTTCTCAGCCAATTCGATATAGCATTTTGGAGTTCCAGAAGCAAATACTGGTCTTTCTCCTTTGCATGTCTTAGTAGCAAGTTTTGTATCAAACTTATGTCCATCAAAAGGTCTCTGCCCAGTTGACATTTCTGTCATAATAACGCCAAACCCATAAATATCAGCTGGTTGTGTAGATTTTTCACCTTTCAAAACTTCAGGAGCCACATAGGGCATGACTCCATAA